ATTTCCACAAATCATGACAGAAAGAATATTTCAGTACAAAGATTGATGTTTTCATCTTTAAAAAGGAATTGAAGGGGACCAGCCAAGGACCTCGAACCTGCTGCTGGGTTGCTGCCCTCCAACTGCCTCCTCCACGTCTCCTGGTGTCCTGGTAGTGCCTCGAGCCTCTGGACACTACGCTCACAGTCACAGCAGACCTTCTTGCCACATCCCAAATGAGCTGCACTACCTGAGCCACATGTGGTGGTCATAGAGTCTACTACTAGGAGTATGAAAGGACTGCAATATTCAAAGTGACCAAATATTCAGCCAGAAGGCACAGGTACTGAGGACGGATCTGTGGTCCCCACCTGCAGAACCTCTGCTTTACTGAGTGGATCTTATTAAATGACCATAATTTCCACCTGTTATATATTCCATTTGAACAAAAGAAGGTGAAACTGATGGGCAATCAGTGTGTCTTCCTAAGTGGACAGTTTGATTAGATTTTTTTTTCTTTTCAGTATATATTATATTACAGGCATCACACGACCCAGTTTTGTTTCAGATTGGTTTGTGTCTTTTAAGTCTTAAACCTGTGAGTGCAGTCTCTATGGCCACCAAATGTCAAAATGGACACATTCTTGAGGGTTGAAAACACAAAGACTATTACCTGAGGGAACAAATTAATTTGATTTTAACTTCTCATCAGGAGTCTGCAAGTGTTAAATTGTAGTCCAGATTGTCAGAGATGCCTGTGTCAATCACACATTGTAACAGCCTCTGTTATCTACTGTACTCTCACAATGACACACCCTCTAATCCGATCCTCTGTGTTGCAGAAACAATGGCTGAATCCATAAGCCTCAAACCAAAAGACAAACAAAGATTTGTCTGTCTCTCTCTCTCCCTTCTCCAAATGCAGGAAAGAAAAATGACACAAAGGAAGCACTGAGCAGAACATGAATGCAGCCACTGCAGCCGCAATCCCACTATGGAAGGCCCACTCTGTTAATGACGACCAATTTGTTTTCTCTTTTATTGCATATAGTTATTATATGCCATGCTCTCTGTCATTGGGTCAGTTTCTACATTTGCTGCAGTTTTCAGTGAGATTTTCCCACAAAATAAACCCACACAACTATTTAAAAGCAAGAAATGTAAATTTCCATTTGTTCATACAATATAAAACGCAAACATATATCAACAAAATGTATTTTATTTGCTGAGGCATAGATGTCTGCTAAATGACTAAGTTCCCCTTTGATAATATTGGTTTTTCTCTGCAGATAAAACTAATAAAATAAGCCAGTATTCTCAGGTTATTTCTGCACAAACACAAATTACACGAACACATTTTATCATGATTCAAACAGCCTAACACATAATACCCAATGGGTATTGCTTCTGACTTGGGATGGACGTCCATGTTGCCTAAATAGATCTGCGCTCTGGTGCAACCGAACTGAAAAAGATTCCTGGATAGGTGAGGAAACATTGTCAGAAAAACTGAATGAATGTCTAGTTACCTCCGATTTAGGCCTGTTTTGTGGGTACTGTGATCAAACAGATGCATTTAATCTGTGCTTTTATTTTACACACTGCTTCACATATTACTAATTTTCTCAGAAGTTTAGTCTTTCAATAGATGCAAAGCTCAGAGACTATTTTTGTGCTGCATTTTTTGGTAACTTAAGAAGCAAAATGACTCAGAGAATCCCCCCACAGATTGCTTCTAACCCTGAAAGACTTAGAAGCCCTCCACGTTTAGATCTTTATGACTGGAGAAACCACTATTAAGATAAAACACTTTTTATAACACTTGTGTCGCAGATGTTACCAGAAGTACGCCGCTCTGAAGACACACCCCAGCAGAGGTTTTAAAAACACTAGCTTCCCCTTTTAGCATCCTGTTTGGCCGGTGGCTTTGTGCCGCTAAAAGGCTAGGCAACTCGCTTCCAGCTAAAGGCTACGGTATGTAGCAACCAAATCCCTCTTGAGAAGTCTGCGCTCGCTGGACCGAGTCAGACTACCTTTTTTCCTGCAATTTTTCCTGCAAGTAGCTGAACGCAGTGTTTTATTTTTCCTGCGATTCAAACCAAGTGAACGCAGTGTATCCTGAATCTCTCTGCAGCAGAGACAGAGCAGAGCTTATCCAGCTCTCCTTTTTTTTTATTTTTTATTATTTAATAAAATCCCAGGAGACAAACAAGCCCGCCGAACAGGAACCCCACCGACAGCGCACCGCAGGCACGCAGGGGCCCGAGCAGCCCGGACAGAAACAACACCGGAAGGCCGATATGGACGAACCGACAGCACCAACCGAGCCCCCAGGCGGATTTCCCCACCCAAAAACACAACGAAACCACTCCGCTCCCACCGATCACAGCAAACACAGCCGCAAGGCAAAACAAAGGATAGAGCAGCCCTGCCCGGCGCGCGCCAGAGAGCCAGAGCAGCAAAGCCGCCCCAGCCGCCAGAAGCCAGCACAAGCAGCAAAAAGAAAGCAGCAGACGCGACCCCGCCGCTCCCGTCGCACCCGGCGAGAAAGCAGCACGACCCACCCCGCTCCGGCCCCGCACCGCCGCCAAACACCAAGCAACCCTCCACTCCCAAACCGACCCCGCGCACGATGCACAGCACCGCGCACCACCGGCACCCATCCCAACAAAGCGAAGCCACACCCTCAACCCGGGGGGCATCCCGAAGGGATGCCCCGAACCAGCCCACAACAGACACACATGAACCCCGGCCGCAGGCGCGACCACCCATGTACCCCCCCGGACGACGCAACCACGCCAAGCGCCACGGCCAACCACTGAAACCCGGGACCAAAAGACGAGGCACGCCCCGACGCCCCGCAGAGCAGAAGCACCCCGGCCAGCACCACAAAAGAAGCTCTCCTTACCCCCGAACAAAGGAGGCCCCGATCGCTGTTCGCTAAAGAAGCCATTAGAAGCTGCAAGACTGACCGCCTGTGGGACGGCACTACGGAGGTGCTACTACAAGTTGCAGCTACGTGCTAACCATCGTAGATAAAACAGAGATGTCCCACAAGCTACCGTGAGTTATAAAATTAACTCCTTTGCAAATAGTCTCTTATTGTTGCATCGGATTGATCCAAATCTCTTTGAGTTGAGTTGACTAAAGACAGGTCTGCAGAAACCGGACAGAGCTGAAGGCCTTCCTCCCACCGAACCAAACAGTAACTGCATCCCTCTCCCTCCTTCACAACTGATGCCTAATAAGATGGCTGAACTACAGGTAGAATAGATAGCCGTGTTGGTGTTTTTAATTGAAATAAGCTTTCAACTGTTGATGTTTTAAAGGTTTAACTGAATGCTAACGCCCACTACAGACCGAACGAGTCACATGTTGTTGCAGCTAACTGCTACATCGTTAGCTAACCCTCTCTTTATTTCAGTTTGACCCAACCAGAACCTGAACACCTGTGGCCAGCTAACAGGTCTTTCAGCCTAATCATAGTTTAATGCATTCCTGAGTCATTATTCTTTTTCCACCATAAACTGAATGAAACTTCCCCTGTTTGACTACAGTTAACATCTTTTGTTTTTTATTGCAACATTTTTTATTTACATTTTATCTGCTGCTATTATATAGGACACTTTCAAATGCATTACGCCTTAAACTTCGAACATCAGTCAGACTTTGAACGCACTCCCCTTTTATTTCTTTAGTTTTCTAATCTTCAGTAGAGTTTTGCTTAGTTATTAGATATAATACTGTGTGATTGTAGCTAATAAAGGTACCATTGTATTTTTAACTCGTGGTCTTTTTGTTCATTTTACACAGTGAACGATTTATCACTCAGGCTGGATTCACTCTTCTTTCGTTAGCATCTGAATGAACAGAGACACATTTATTTTGATGGTGATTAATAACGTTGCTAAGAGCTGAAGCCTGAATGACTAAATTGGTGAAAGACAACTGGATTTTTAAAAGCCAGATTCAGGAGTCTAACCCTTTTAGGAAAGAGGCTAAACTCCTGGTCACTGAGCTAGTTAGTTATAATCATTCAACTGATAATAAATAGCTAGTTTTACCCCTTATTTAACCAACTTCCAGTTTTAGTTATTTAATATATTCATACGCTAAGTGGCACTTCTTCTTACAGTAAACAGCCCTTCACCAGGTGGATGCTTACCTGTCATGTCTCAAAGTTTGGCTTACCATTATATTCCACAAACCCTGCCTTAGTTCTTAGTTCCCTTCTTTTGCCTCAGTATATGAACATGTGTCCCCTTATCTTGCCATCCTCTTGAGAAGAGTAACTTTATTATTTATAATTAAAATAGGCTGTTATATCTGTTTAGGTTCCTCTGTATTGTTCCATCCTCTTCCTCTAACCATGTGACTTAAGAAATTAAGATGATTGGTTTTATCCTAACAAGAGGAATCTCTGCCTCAACTAATATGCCCGCTTATGGAGATTTAAAAAAGCATTCAATTTTGAAAAAAATTTCTAAAAAACAGCTGAAATGATCAATCCCTCTTCCTTCAATTTGAAGGAAGAAATGGTGCTGTTTGCTCCTTTACATGTTTTTTTTTTTATTATCTCCTAATAAGTTTTCCAACCTCTTTAATAGGTAATAGTCACATAAGTTTATTTATATATTGTCATGAAACGGTGTTGGTTGGAGGACCCGAATGCAGAGGCCAGTAGGCAGAGGTGAATTTAAGTGGGTTTATTAAGGTTCACAGGAACTGAGGCAGGAATCAAAATCCAACAGAAAATAACAAACGCACCAGAACCAAGGAGACATCAGGGGTAAACCAAAAACTCTAGGA